GAAGAAGAAGAAGAAGAACACTCACTGGATGAAGTCACTTCCTGTTGAGCTGAAACAAACAGAAACAGCAGATCAATACCAGAATAAAAACTCTGTTTTATTTATTTTAACTGTGTTCAAACGCTGGCAGGAATTAGAGCAGCACCAAATGTTTTCTTGTTAATTTATCGTAAATAGACAAGTTAAAGTATTTATGCTTCTTTTTTTAGTTTTCAGATCATTTCAGAACTTTAAACACAAGCATCTCGAGGTCTTTAGACTTTAAATGAGTTGAACAAATGCACAGTTCATTAAATTCATTAAAGGTGCAACATCAAATTAGCTTTTAACCATTTCACTGATGTAAAAATGGTGGTTTTATAGTAAAACACAGATTTTTGCCCTTTTTTTTTTTTTTTTACAGTCAACATGTAAATTAACGCTTTTTTAATTGCAATTTTACTCAATATTATTGATTTATCATCTTTATATTATATTATCTAACTATTCTGGTTGTCATGTAATCATTTTCAATCCCTAATAGCTCGATTTTTTCTTTCAAATAACTGATTTAAATGAGGTTTCTGTTCAGTGAACCGGCTCCTTCTTTGTTCCTTCACTTCCTGTTTTATTTCCAACCGACCCGCTGCTGAAAACATCCAAAATGACCAAAGATTTGTTTTGTTCAAATCAATTTAAATTCAAATCTATGAGAGATTTTTACTGTAAAGAAACAAAACCAGCGACAGACCAGACATCCCTGCATGCATTACTGTGGAAACTCTGCAGAGACTCTTTGGTAGCTGCTGCTTTTCACAACAATAAAACCACCTGGTATTGCAGGAACTTATATTTAAACAAACTCAGTGGAGTTTAATAATGAGATGTTACTTTCATGCTCCTCCAAACAGTCTTGCAGTCGGTATCAAAACACATTTAAAACACGAGGCTGCAACAGAAGAAATGTTTTGCCATAAATACGTTCTTCCTCCACCCACATGTTCAAACCATCCAAAACCTGTTCTGCCAACATTTAAGATACTGAGAGGACGTGAAGGAACAGACAACAAACATGGTCGAATCAGTAACGAAGAGGAAGAACTGCTGCGGATTAGAAGGAATTTTAAAATGCTAACCTTTGTTTAGAAGTTTACCCGACAACAGCCCTGTCGTCTGTCAGTTAAGGAGGTTAAATGAACCAAAATGACTGTTTGAGCAGAATTCATGAGGGAAAGGTGTGAACTTGAAGCTGCCAAAACGTTTGTAGAACTGGGTGTTCAGCCAATCGTAGCACGAAGTTTCTGATCTAGACAGCGACGCAACATCTCACCAGTCCAAACATGTCAGGTCACGACATATCTGTGTGATCCTCAGAGACGTTCTAAGATGATGACCATCGAGCACTGATGGAAAAAGCTAAATTTCAAGTTGAGGGCTACAATAAAGTTCCTCACAAAAGGCTGACTAACATGGAAGATGATCCACGGTCAGAGGAAATGATCCCTTCCGTCATAACGAATGATCGCCGAGTTAAGGTTGATGAGACAGCTAGGCAGTGTGAGGTTTCCCACATGAGTGTTTGCACGATAATCCACGAACATCTCGGGACGCCGAAGGTATCCGCAAGATGGGTCCCCAGAAACCTTAAAGTTCAGGATCGTCTCCAAAGGCTCCAGTCTAGTCGGGAGCTTCTTGGCATTTAATGACTGGAGATGACACATGGATTCATCACTGGGATCCAGAAACCAAAATAGATGGAATGGAAGCAACCCGGCTCAACCTTCGCCCAAGAAGGTCCGAACCCAACCGTCAAATTCCTGCCCGCTGTGTTTTGGGACTCTGTTGTTGGTTGATTATAAACTTCTGGAAACTTCATCACCGTTACCACGCCGGTCTAATGAAGCAACTGAGAGCTGTTGTTAAAGAAAAAAGGAAGGGGACAACTGGAACAACTCAACCACCCCCCCTACAGTCCAGACCTGACCCCCAGTCATCACTTCCTGTTTAGAAATTTGGAATGACATTTGGGTGGAAGCAGACTTCCTGAGGCCCACAGAGGCATGGTTCAAGGACCAACCTGAAGACTTCTAATTTGAAGGTACAGACAGTCTGAAGATGAAGTGGACGAGATGTGTTGAGGTAAATGTGTTGAAAAATAATAGTGCGATGCAAGATCTGCTACAGTATCGACCTGGTTCTAAGAACTTCTTGACCTCCTCTTGTATCAACAGTAAATCAGTGACGTTGCAGTTTCTTAGGAGAGTTTTAGCTCATTGTTTTGGTGTCTCGTCAACCGTATTGTCAGCAAATGAATCCACTAATACAGACAGTGGATGGTACCTTCTGAAAACAGCAACCAGAAGCTGATCGTAGTGGACAGAAGCTTTGAATGGCTGCTTGGTGCAAAATCGCCTTCAAAGACGATAAAAACGTCGCGTTGGAAGCTAGTTTCTGCTGCGTCTTTGTGGCTTTAACGTTCAGAGAAGTGTGTCAACAGTAAACTGAGCCACAACACAACACGACGTGGACATTCAATCCTCCACTCAGGTCACCAGAACGTCTGCCGATCATCTCCACTTCCTGGTATCGTGTGATCCAGGTTGTTCCTCCCAGAACCCACCGGGACACCTACCCTCCCTGAGCCGGAGCTTGATCCAGGGCAGCAGCAGCCGGACGTCGCTGAACACCCCCGGAGAGCCTCTCCTGGACGGGGGACGGCCGGCGTTGTCCCCCCAGCTCCGACCGCAGCCTTTCCCCCAGGAGGTGACGCCCAGCGCCACCCAGCGGCCCGACCCGGACCCGGCCGGACATACCAGAGGACCGCCGGAGTCCCCCTGGACGGACGAGGAACAGAAACTATTTACAGATCAGTGATGCAGGAAGAGGTCCCAGAGGGAGTTCCCATACGTTTCACTGTAGTTCTAGTGTCAGAGTCCATACAGATGGTAGATTACTGAGTAATGACAGAACTATACAGCAGGACATGGACTTTCTGTTTAATGCTGTAACTAGACTTCCCAATAATAATAATTCAATAACATTTTATCTCTCGTTTTTGGGTCATTTTTTCCCATTTTTGTGTCATTTTGCGTCTTGTTTGTCTGTTTGTCCCAATTATGTGTCCCGTTTTTGTTGGTTTGTGTACATTTTTTCTATTCTTGTCATTTTGTGTCTCATTTCTGTTGGTTTGTGTCTCGTTGGTGTCTGTTTGTGTCCATTGTGTGTCTCATTTTTGTTGGTTGTTGTAATTTTTTTCCATTTTGTGTCTCTTTTTTGTCGGTAAGTGTCTTGTTGGTTTCATGTTGTTACTCGTTTGTGTCTTTTGGTGCCAGATTTGCATCTTCTTGTTGTTGGTTTGTGCCATTTTTGTGTCACTTTGTGTCTAATTTTGTGTCATTTTGTGTATTTGTTGTTGGTTTAGGGCTCGTTTTTGTCAGACTTGATTCTTTCTCTACCTGACAGGCGTCTTTGCCTCCTCGCTCCGGTCCGGCACACACAACAGTCATGGCTGGTTGAGCTCGGACCTGTTTCTGGTTCAGAACTGAACTTTTCACAGTTTGCAGGACGTATTTACATCGAGCTGGATCCACCAAATCCAACCGGACCTCCCTGAGCACTGCAGGAAGGCGACCTCCTGGAAAACGGTTTGTAACAGTAAGAAAATCAACCAAATCTAAAAGAAATGTTCCCCCCAAACCATCTCAGAACCAGCTGGTTCTGTATCTGCAGAAACTTTATCTACTGACCAGAGTTCTATCTTCAGACTGTGAATGTTCCAGAATTCCAGAACCTTGACGTCCACAGAGGAGGGTCCAGATTGATCACTTTCATGGACTTTTTCCATTAAATGTTTTTGGACAAAATGTGTCCCAGGTGTTTGTGACGCCTGGATGGATGTAAAACTGATCTGGTGTCAGTGTTTATCATCCTAAAATGTCATGTGTCCATCTGTGGAAATATTCACAGTATGAAAGTAGAGCTCTGATCTTTAAATAAAGTTACTGTGGATGAAGAACCAGCTGGTTCTGAGGAGGTCCGGTTGGTTGAACTTGTAGATTTCTATATAAAAGTCAGGAGGGTCCATACTCTCCTTCATCCTGCCCCATCCTCCCACAGTGCAGCTGGTCCGAGGAGGAATGTTCTCATCAGGTGAAGGTAGACATATCGGCTGGACACGAGCTCCTGTAGAAGAAGACGAATATCAGCGACTTCCACTGTGTTAGACATCATTTCACCAAACGAAGCTCCAGAGTGAAACCTGCCCATGTCGATGCGTCCGTCCAGCTGCAGCAGAGCCACATCGAACTGCATCGGCAGAACGTGATTGAACTTCTCGTGGACCGAGACGGACTTGACGAGGAAGGTCTGCTCTTCTTCGTCTTGTTTTCTCCGATCAAACTCCCCAACCACGACTCTCACGCCGTTGAGAAACTCTCTGGACAGAATGGAGACCTTTAGGCTCTTGAGATTTCGTTAAAGAAAGTGAAGATGAGGAATAAATGAGAACGACACTTCAGTACCGCGATACAGATGTGAAGCAGTGAGCAGCTGTTAGGATCCAGCGGTCCGTCAGGATGGAGCCGCCACAGAAATGAGAACCTCTGTTCTGCAGAGAAACCTGAGCAGAGATCGCAGAAGCTCAACAGACAATCAGATTACAGATTAAATGTAATATTCTGTCAGCTCAGCACCACTACAAGATGCACACAGTCAAAGGCTTCATACCTGCCGGTAGATTTAAAAAGCCTAATAAACAGGAAACGGTTTAGGGGAACGAAAACTTCCCTTGTAGCATGTTGCTTTTAGCGTGTTAGCATCTTGCCATCATGCTAACAGCAGTACATGAACATGGAGCATCAACACCATTTTATTTTTGTTGTTGTAGTTGCATAAATACATATTAATATGTAAGTATTGCATCATTTCTAAAGTTGGAACACATTAAAGCACCATATCGCCCACGTACGCTTTCAAAGAACACGCAGCGTCACGTCCCCCAATACTGATTATTGTATGCTATCACATAAACTAATCTTACTTAGCGAGCTAGCTAACTTGCCAACATATACATATGGTTAACATAGGATACATGAAAGAAGCTAATGTTAGCTTATGACTCTTCCCCTTGGAGATATTCCAGGTGTGGTAGCTTTTTTTTCTTGGCATATCACAAGCTAATGTTCGCTTCTTTAATTCTTTCATCAAGCTAACATTGGTTTCTCATATATCGCAAGCTAATATTAGCTTTGTAGATATCTCAAGCTAATGTTAGCTTCTTTCATATCACAAGTTAACATTAGCGTCTCTCATATTGCAAGCTAATGTCAGCATCGTTAATATCGCCAGCTAACATTAACTGCTTTTATAACACAAGCTATCAGCTTGCTAAAAGCTTGAATATAGGAAAAGCTAACAATAGCTACATGATGTGACAG